CTCTTGATGTCCCTTTTAAGAGCTTTCTCCGATACCTGAATCCAGAAGTGATCAGCAATTTGGAACAATTCGTCCTTCCTACACTTATTCAGCTGCTCAAAGGAAGGTTCCTCTACAAACCTTCGCAAATCAAAAGTAGCCATAATTACAGTACCTTGCCAAAACACATTCCACAAATCAAAATCTTTAACCAGTCCTTATTCCACAAAAAATGCCAAATAACACTAACCAGTCCAAAAATGCACAAAAGTACCAACACCAAAGTTCTGCAACCAAAAAAAAATCCTTAGGACGGGAATTTGATATCCCGGACGAGCCCCCAATAATGTTACGACCCCAAGTGTCTAGGGGTGAAGGGGTGTAACATTTAGGATAATTATTTTGGAAGCAGGTGGGTTTTGGTGAGGGACTAGGAAGCATGATAACAAGGGTAAGCAACTAGAGTGGTGCCAAAGGAAATAACAAACAAAATGGAGCTGGCTAGGACAGTGAGGGAAAGCTAACCTGACTACAAAAGAAAACCCGAAACACACGGTCTTCAGCGTCTTTAACACCCCAACTAACCTCCCCTGACTACCCAAAACCATACAAGACAAATGGCACTCACCCGTACTAAACTAGTGTCACTAATACAAAATCAACTAAGTGTGTAAAGTGTACCCAACAACCTAAACTAACCTTATACACAAAAGTTCACAAAAACACAAGTGAACCAGGAATACAAATAAGGGAGAACAAGAGTTATCAACAGGAACAGGGTACAAAAGAACACAAAGGTTGAACATGTAACATATTACAGCAAGGTAATGGCAAAACAAGGGTAAACACAAACAAACGAAAGTACAAAGAAAACAACAGAAACCAACAAAACAACAAAGCCGAAGCTATACGAATATACACACACAGAACAAAACAACAAACCAACAAAGCTGAAGCAAAAGCAAAGTAAAAGCGATAACCAAATCCAAACAGGACCAAAGTCAAACAAAAGTCCTCTTCATTCAGAAAACCATGTTATATGCTGAATAAGATGTGTTCTGATTGGCTGAGAGCTAATTGATGATGACATCATACTGAAACAGTGGTGTGATGGTGGGCCAATGGGGGAGGGAGAACAATCAAGGGTCAGCAGTGTGGAACATAACAACAAAAACACAATGACCACACACTGGGACGTAACAATCAACATACTGTATATAACCCCAACCCACACTGAAGATTTAATCTCAATAGGTAAAATTTAGCCTACTCAAGGAAGCAATCATTTACTAAATCCAAATGCCTTTGTATTTATTTTGTATATACATTTCCAGTCAATTAAGGTAAAATTTAACTTAAGTTTCTACATTGATGCAAATGATGAAGTTACCAACTGAATTTACTTCTTTTGAATGGACATGGTTATTCATTGTTCAGCAGCCTGTAATAAAACTTTATAAAAAACAATAAACAATTAGTTTAACTAATTCAAGAACTGTTTAGCACTAATACTTTTCCAAACGTATTGTTCAACACGTCTTCAGAAAAGAAAATGAAACTTCTATCCACTTTGCAGTGTTTGGGATTGACACAAGAACTCCTGGGATGATGTACTTCAAGCATTTTCAGCAACTGTAGCCACTGAGGGTCCACACTTACGTCAGTGACAGTTTCCCACAAAGCTTACGCAAGCATGCTTACAATGAGCTTTAAGGAAAAAGCAGTTTTCAGATAATTTCCTAGGAAAAAATGTTTTAGGATATACAAAAAAACTGCTTTTAAATTTTACTTTTTGGATGTATTAAAAAAAATTACAGTCAAAAATCTAATAAAAACAAAAAAAACTTACTTTTGCAGAGTATGTGGTATATACTGTGTAACACTTTTGTCACTGTATGTACACATTTATACACATGACGTTTATAGCTCACAATCCCACAATCAAAAAGCTTTTGGGAATCTAGAGTGTCCTTTGGGAAGGTGTAGATTGTGCGTGGCGTAGTGACGAAGTGTTCAGCATCGCTGCCTTTTTAGCATCAGGCCCTGGGCCTGGGGTGCCAACTGCAGGGAGTTTGTGTTTTATCCCCATGTTCGTGTGGGTTTACTCCAGGTGCTCTGGTTTCCACCCACAGTCCAAGATATACTGTACTGCTCGGCTAATTGAGTTCTGGAAAAACGGGCTGTAGTTGAGTCCCTGTCCACGTCCGTGTCCGTGTCCCTGTCCCTGTCTGCCCTGTGCTGCCTTGCGCCAGCTGCTTGCCAAGACAGGCTCTGGCTCACACGCGACCCTGAACTGGAAGAAGTGGTTAGAAAACCTGGATGGATGGAAGACATTTTTCTTCAGCCAGCACATTTTCAGCTGAGTGTCTAGTCAGACTAAACTAGGACTGTAAGCCAGTCGTGCTAATCAGACTGTTGTGCTTTTCAAGAGCTTTTTTTCTGTAACCTAGCAATTATAGGCCTGTCCTTGCAGGTCTGATGCTGACTGAACAGCAAACCTCCAAACCCAAAAGCAGACAGCCATGGTCCACCTTGTTGGGATGGATGAAGCAGACTCAGGCCAGTCACTCCCATGCTGTGTTCACCCGCCGGTCAGGCACCTCAGTGACTCACAGCTGATTCATCACCTGCCGGTATCCCCTAGCAGTGAGGATGGACGACAAGCAAATATAAACCACTAAAAACATTCTAGATACTTAATGCTCAGCTTAATATAAACCTAAAACCATCTGGACGTAGGTTAAGGGACACAACCTGATCCCGCAGGGTTCCTTACCTTAGCCAGGTCAGATTGCAGAGTCTACCTGCAGCTCTGCTGTCACTGCTACCCTACACTACGACTACTAATATCAGACTGTCTTCTACACCTGACTACTGCAGGGCTTCTGCGTATTCATACCAAAGAGGTAAAAACTCCAGTGAGGATATAAAGCAAGTATCTAAACTCAACAGAAATCAATCGGTATTGAGTACATCAATAAAAAGGGAAATCTTAAATTCTAGATATATAAGACTTGATTGATCCAGGAGGGAAATTGAGGAAATTCAGAGGAAATTGAAATATATTTATTATTAGATTTAGTATCTAAAAGTATCAGTCATTTTGATGTACTGACAAAATGTTTTGAGGAGGTAAAAAGACTCATTGATGCAGGTGTAATCTGTTATTTATAAAGGTGCATTGCAAATAGTCATTAAACAGGGAGTACATCAGTATGGCAGTGGCAACAGACATCAGCGTGATGGATGTGGTTTAGACGTCCTCTCAGGCTCAGAAAACATCAGGTAGATAAAACATATTTATCTATGTGTCAATTTCATATTGAAAAGTAAAAAGGAATACGAACAAAACCTCTCAGCAGCGGTGCCTTCTACAAGTGTGAGAGAATGAGAGAGCAGGAATATGAGACCAAGATTAGGATAAGAACAGCAAAAAATCTGAGATTGGGTAAGTATGGAAAAGGTGGGTAGAAGGGATGGAATTCTGTGAATTCCAGGAGGGATATCAGAAAAGACATTTAGCAATGGGAAAGGTGTAAACCTAATATAATTATGGATTAGGATTTCTTTCTTTAGTAGGAGTCTTTTAACCCCTAGGAAATTATGCACTAAGAAAGGTCATTATTAGCATGGCTGGGAGAAAACATGAGGAATTATTATGTCGGAGGGATCTGTGATCCTCCAGAAAGATGTCAGAAGCTAAAATGATCCTAGATTTCCAAACTCTGTAGCACCTTGTCACCTCCCAGTTTCCATTCTTTTCTATTTTTCTGCATGGAATTACCCACTGCCCATTGATTCAACCATCCAGCTAGCAACTGACAAAGAATGGTGTCTCACAAAAACAAGCAAACATTAGTGACCATTAGTAGACCATGCACTGAAGTGTAGATTGCCTGCAGTCTAAATGCTGTATAGCAGGAGTACAGACAGTAGGCTTGACTGTTTTCAGGAATGATATGCTCTGAGGAGAAAACAAGAAACTACCATTATGGTCCTGTCTTTCCTGTTTTGAATGTAAAATTGGATCCTGCCAGAGCTTGTAGAACTGTAACTATCTACTTTTCAATATTTAATTAGACCAGGCCTCAATGTGAAGACATTTAATTTTGTTTCCTGTTCTATTGACATTCAGCACTAAAGTAATTTATTTTTCAGCTTGTTTCTGTGAGCTGTGAGCTATGTAGTACTGGTGACAGTGATGACAACAGGTGGGGAAATTCTTACAATTACAATTACAATTTTCTGCTCTACAACAGGAAGCACTATATTTCCAAGTGGAAAGTTTCTCACCCACTTGAGAGAGGAGTTTATTTGTCATATGTACATGTAATATAATAATAATAATAATAATAATAATAATAATAATAA